CCATATTTTCTAGTCTTTGGCTTAGAATGAAGTTGGTTTGGAAACATATTCAGCGATGCTTCATCTCCTGCTTTGCGTTTCTGTGCTAGCAGTCTCCAAGTGTTTTGTTTTTTCTTCCCCCCCTTTTCATACCGCGCCCCCCTGCAATGGCGGGCCAGCCCTACACTTTGGGAAGGTCTGACATAAACAGTGTCATCTACACCAGGCGTGGCCCATATCTGGATGACATACCACTTACCATGCCAGAAGTCAGTCAGCAGTGACGGCTAGACACCAGATCCGGCCTGTCCTGTCTTCTATGTGGGTATACTGTACATAAAATACAACTGAACCATGTCAAATCAATTACTTATTAGCAGTCAAACTAATGTGCTGCTTGAAACCAACTTTCAGCATAATAACAATGGGTTATTCAGCTTTAAGCTACTGGAGATGACTCAGGTTCTGTGTCATTTAAGCTGGGCAAAGAAGCAGGTTGTACAGCAGTGTTGAAAGCAGTTTGAAAAAAGTTGCATTAAAAAAACATAATAAACTTTAATTTAAAACCATCATAACTGAATCACTGTGTTTATGTCATGTCAAAACTTTATTTACAGATGTAAACTTGTACACAAAGGAAACTATGCATGAGAAAACTTATTGTCACGTGTGTAGTCTTACATTTAGTGTGCTATGCATGTAATGCATACAGTGTTTTCTGGCCACAAACGGCTTCCACTCCCAAGTGGTAAATCCAGGCTCGGCTCTTCTTTAGGCAGTCTTCTTCAGAGAGATTGGCTGTGGCTCAGGATATAGAGCAGGTTGCGCAAAAAGATGCTGGTTATATCGTTGGTGCCTCCAAGCTGCCTGATGACGTATGTGTGAACCAGACACCGAATCCTGAGTTGCTCCAGATGCACATTGGAATGTGGGTCTGTTCATAAATATTAGACACATTGCTTGAATAATAGTACCCTATGAATGTGTGTTCGATTGGGTAAGTAAGGCTTGTAGTAAAAAGCCCTTTGAGTGTTCAGTTTGAGAAAAAGAAAACTGCTATGTAAGCGTTATATAACTGTAAACATTACAAAAAGCAAAACTAAGACAGACATTATGTAAGACAAAAGTGCAAAATGCATTAATAACCAATATGTACCATTTAAATCTAAGAAAAACAGTTTCATGAAGGTATAATACAAAAATATGTTTGGGATCTTGTGTATGACAGGTATGTTCATTTATCACAGAATTGCTGTGATAAATGAAGTTGCTGTACATTTTTTTAGTCAATGGTAGGAATCATTTCCTAAAGCATTTATGGCAGCAAGGTTGAATCAATCTGAGAGAAGAGGGGCTCTGCTGCCTCAACCTCCAAATTCTGACCAATGATATCGCAGTTTTTTTCCACAGAAAGTCAACCCCCATTTCTTTAGTCTTGCTAACATTCAGAAGGTGGTGACAGCCATCCTGAGCAGCTTCTCACTCAGAAGAAGTAGCTGAATGGAATTAAAGCACTGGAGA